TACCTTTCAGCGTCTCCTCAGGGCGGCTGCGACTCGCCAGAAGTCGTGAGATACTCCGTTCTACAGAACAAACTTCCTCAGAAGTTGTAGGGCATTCGCCTGGTGATAGTCACAGCGAGACGCTGTGACCACAGTCTCGCTGTGACCACAGCAGAGATGGATGACTCCATCAGACTGGAAAACTGAGTCCGAAGTTCCACTCAGCAGTGGACAAACTCCAGAACTCCAGAACATCTAGAGCTGAAGAACAGAACTTCACTCCAGAACTACTCCACAGAACCTCAGAAGACTAATAGTTCTAGGAAGTGTCGACTTTTAAAGAGTTCTGCTTCGGGTCACTTTAGTAAGTCCTGATTGGTTGAAGCAACCAACCGGGGTGTGGTTCTAGTGATGTCAGAGGGTTTTTACAAGTCAAGAAAACAGCAAGAATGTTTTAGGAACAGACAGAGAAATGTTTTGGCGAAGTGAGAAACACTGCAGGTGCCAGTTTTCTTATTTACTGTCTGAGAGTTTTAAAAACACGACAGCCCGTTCTAACAACTTGTTTTTGACTGTCTCTGACTTTTGACTGACATCACTCCTTCTCATTTCAGACAGAAGATCAAAATGCATAATTACTTTGTAAATAGACATTTAACTTGATCTCTAATTTAAATGGTATGAACTAAACACACTTCTGATTATCAAGATATTGTAAAATAGTAATGATAATATAAAAAAGAGAGTGTTCTTTCAATTGATTAGTTCAAGATACAATTAGACAGTCTCTGGATGAGCTAATTTGTATTTCTGGATTCAAATCAATGAAATAACAGTTCCTGTCCCATGAAGGTCTTCAGAGGCAGGTTTTGGTCGGAGGCCTAGTCCACTACATCTATAATTGGCTAGGATTTCTGAATCAGGGTCAGACTTCTTAAGTAAAGGTTTAATTACAGCAACCTTAAAGTGCTGTGATATGTAACCATTCATTAAAGACAAATTAAGCAGATCCAACATGTCAGCATCAATTAAGGGAAACACCTCTTTAAACAGTCTGGTTGGGATGGGATCTAGAAGACATGTGGATGGTTTGGATGAGGGTATTATTTTTGACAATTCAGCAAGCTCAACAGGACAAAAACTGTTAGGTATTTCTCTCGTACCTAGACAAGAAAAGAACCACAAAGACAGAGTAAGATTTTTGACCAAGCCCTTTGCAAAGAGGGAAGTCCACAATGACCACCTTCTAGCGTGAATCAGAGTGAACTTTGAAGCCTCGTTGTTTGAGCTTGTCTTTTATTGGTAAGAGTGAAAAAAGAACTGCAGTTTCACATCAACAATTTGGGGTCACAAGATAATCATTGGCAGGATGGTTTGGGTTGAAAGCAAAGAGTCTTCTCAGAAAGACATCTTGATTAGGCAGATTACAACGAGGGCAAGATGATCATAGAACATTTTGATTAAATGCTTACTAGGAACAATGACAGTGTAAGATTGATGGGATATGAGTTGATATGTATAACCTTGACATTTCTGTTTTTACAAAAGAACAAACAATTCTAAGTAAAAAGAGCTTGTGTAAGTACAGAGAATTTCCTATCAGCTCGGATGTGGACTGAGAGTTCTCCAGAAACTTCTTTGCTTCGTATGTACAGAAGTGCAGAAATCATGAAACAGTTTAAAATGATAACATATTAAAAACTCTTACAAACTGTCCAAACACAAATCAGTTTCCAGTAATATCTCAAAAGCTGCATCATCCGGCAGGGAATCGGGTAGTACTAGGAAGGATGATTTGAATTTTCTCTCCAATTTAAATCATTTTATTTATAAAAAATCTCTTGAAGTCACTACTGCTTATAGTTATAAACAGATTCTTAAAGCCACTTAAGAGTCCAACAGATTCTTAAGTGGCTTTAAGAATCTGTTGGACTCCTGGCAGGGTCCAATGCTGACATGTTCCTGTTTTTAGTTTTCTACATTTGTCTTGGAATCTAGCTGTTTTTTGTTTTGTTACCTTTTCCTTTTAGCCATCCTATTTGTTAAAAAAAAACAAAAAAAACTAGTATGCTTTTTTAAATTTTTTTATATATAATTGTTTATTGTTGTTGCTGTTGTCCATTGTTGTCATCTTTCTTTGTTGAAATCAGGTCTCTCTTGTAAATGAGTCCTCGAGGCTCAATGGGATTTACCTGTATAAATAAAGGTTGATTGATAGTTGTAGGGATACTATGGTTCAACAGAAATGGGACTTTTAATTAGTCTGGCTATAGTACTAAACAGAAACTTAGGGTTATTTTTATTCTCATCTATTAAAGATTTGTAATATAAAGTTCTAGCTTTACAGAGTGATTTCTTATATGTTAGCAGACTATCTTTCCAAGTTGAATAAAATTTTTCAATGTTAGTGGAGCGCCATTTTCTGTCCTCGTTTCTAGATGTCTGCTTTAAAGTACGTAACTCAGAATTGAACCAATTATCTATTCTCCTCTGATTACTTTCCTTTTCAATCGAGTGATGGATGATTACCGATAATTGTCAGCTGATCCCCCGTTGGCTCTCTTTTTGATTGTTTGATTGATCCTACAGCAATTCGTCAGTTCTTATGTTAGTTGATTGCTCATACGGTGGATGGGTTCTTCCTATGGTTACTTGGTCCTCCTGTTGGGACAGTGCAGCAGAGAAGTGCTGTAACTGTTTGGGTTAGGAGGAAGAAAACTTTCCTCTGCTACTTCTTCTGCTGACCAAAGATTACAAAAGGAGAATCCAGCTGAGAGGAAACATCCTGTTGCCAACTGTGACCAATTTTATTCTCCACTCCTTTCCCGTTGAAACATATTGTTTTCTTTCTGAATCATTTAGCTGAAGTCAGAGTGCCGGCAAAAAATAGAATAGTTTAAATATTAAAATTCTTACTGATTATGATGCTACAATATTTCAGGACATTAATTCTTATGAAATTGTGATTTTTCAAATTTTACTGTTAATAAATTGTAGAAAACTGAATGTAGATTACTGGAAAATGAATTAAACAATTGCAGATTCAGATTGCAACACAACAAAAAGTTAAGCCAAAAAATGTTTTTTTTTTCTCAAGAATCTGTATGTGACACCACCAGCAGTGTCCAAACCTCAATTAGTGGGTGGACTCGGACTTTCAGACCTCAATCTGTATATAATATCCATTTTACTATTTACTCTTGAACTCAGTCTGTGGGTGGACTCTCGGACCTCTGTCTATGTCACTTCATCAGTGCAGCTACAGCGCGCAATCTCAAATCATTACTTGCAGTGTACCCTCAGTGCGGACCGAACTTGGCAAAAAGGCCTTCTTTTACTTCCCTTCTGTAACTTGGAATATCTTGCAATTTCTCGGACTGGAGCAGCAGCTGGACCTATTTTAAAGATTTTAAAAACAATAATGACAACACCTTGGTCTAATGCTGACGTGCTGGCATTTCTTTGTGCTTGGTGGCTGACGACAAAATTCAGAGCAAGCTGGATGGAGCTCTGCTGGTCTACCCCAGTCCTCCCCCTGGAGCCTCGGAGTGCCAGGCTGGGCAGGGCGTCATCTCCCCGGCTCCGAGTTCGGCTGGTCACCGTGGAAGATCCTCTGTTGTGCCAACTCGGGGGCTCGGGTTCTGGATCACGGCCTTGTGTGCTCAGAGCTCCGCTGGTCACCGCAAATCTGGTGACTCGCAGAAGGCTGTTGCCAGACCCCGTAATCATAAAGGCTGAATCCCGATCCCGCCCGACAGTCAGGCGGACCGGACGATCTGGGACGGACGGTGGAAGCGATTTTTAAATGAACTAATATTTTCTTTTTATGCATAAAATGTTTATAAAAATCACTGAAGCGATTAAAAAATAAAGAATTTTTTTTTAAACTCGTAAAATGTTTTTAAAAATCACTTCCACCGTCTGTCCCAGACCTATCTCTGTCTGCCGTAACAACATGACTTCAGATTTCTTTTCATTGAAACTTAAGAAATTTAAAGCCATTCAATCCCTGATCTCAGCCAGGCAGTCGAGCAGAGGTTGAATAGAGCATTTACCATTGTGTCTTAGAGGGAAGTAAATTTGACAGTCATCAGCTTAGAAGTGAAAGGGTATGTTGTGTTTCCGGAAAATAGCATCAAGTGGCAGCAGGTATAAAGAGAATAGGAGGGGACCCAGGAGGGGATCCAGGATGGACCCCTGCGGCACCCCCCCCCCCATTTAAGTTCTGCCACTGCAGAACTAAAATCTTTGATGGAAACACAAAGGGATCTGTCAGCGAGGTAGGATCTGAACCAATTGAGGGCTGACCCTGTGATGCCCACCCACTGCTCCAACCTAGCAATGAGCATCTCATGGTCGATAGTGTCAAAAGCGGATGTAAGGTCCAATAGGACAAGCGGCACAGAATCACCAGTATCTGTGGATAACATGGTGTTTTTACTAAATCAAATCACCCTGCGTTAAATGTCAGGAAGTAAAAGCAAAATGGATGAGCACAATCATCAACAACGAAATACCAAATGAGATCACACTGTGTTAAATGCCAATGAGTACAGGTGTGTTTTGAGGAGAGATTTAAAAATAGAGACTGAGGTGGCCTGTCAAATGTTGATGGGCAGATTATTCCAGAGTTTAGGGCCCATGACTGAAAACGCCCAATCTCCTCTGAGCTTCAGCCTGGTTTTAGGTACGGCCAGAAGCAGCTGGTCTGATGATCTCAAGGCCCAAGAAGGAGTATAAGGATGAAGGAGGTCGGAGAGGTATGAGGGTGCAAGGCCATTAACACACTTAAATGTCAGCAGAAGAATCTTATAATCAACTCTGACACGCACAGGAAGCCAGTGAAGAGAGGATAGAACTGGAGTAATGTGCTCAAACCTGCGAGTTCCTGTTGGTAGCCGAGCTGCAGCACTTTGGACAAGCTGGAGACGTGAGAGAGAGACCTGACTGATCCCAGTTTAAGTTTAATAAACAACAGTGACCCTTTTTTTCAGAGAAATTTCTCTTTTTGCTGTCCGTAGTTTTGAGGCTCCACTAGCTGGAATGCTAACAGAGCGACGGCAGACAGTCAGAAAACAATACGAAGCTCTGCAGCAGAGGAGAGCCCTGCAGGACACAACCAACACATCCAGCCCATCACCCAACACCGTTGCCTCTGTGTTGGTGCAATTGGATCAGAACTACCCTGCTCTCCATCTGAACCACACCCAGAAACTGCAGCTGCAACAACAAGTGCAGCAGGTACGTAAGTTACCTCATCTTCATCATCATATCAGTGACACACAGTTTATCAGTGAAACTAACCTGTAGCCTGTGCCAAGCTTCCCTACTCCTAATTGTTGCAGAGGTTAGACTAAAGCCTCTAGTATACTCGCGTGTATGTGGATCCGCGGAGGTCTGCGCATACCAGATTAGAGTAGAAGTGGATACCCGCAGGATATATCCGTGCAAAGCTCAATTTTTGCGTACGCGTACTTGGTGTCGCACAATAAACTGTCCAGCGACGGACTGTTTTGTATACGACACCAATGTATTAAATTCCCCTTCTTCATCCCTGATCTGGTTTAATGTCCTTTTCTTTGTTTTTTTTTCCAAGAGGCAAGTGATCTCTTCCTCCTCTTCTGTTGACTACATGACTGAAATAGTGAGAAATGAAGGAATTTGTCACGAGCGAATTAAAATCAGGTCCAGCGTGGCTGTGGGAGGGTCTGGAGATTTCCTGGTGGGCTAGTCTGATGTGTGGGCTGCAGGACCAGCGCTCCCTGTTTTTTAAAAACTTTTTACTAACAACATATAAACACAGAACACAGCTGCGGCTAGAGCTGCCAGCTCTCGCTTCTTTTTTTTTGCGACTTGTCGATCACCCCTCCCTGGGCTGCCACCTTACCATGGTGGAGGGGTTTGAGTGTCCCAATGATCCTAGGAGCTATGCTGTCAGGGGCTTTATGCCCCTAGTAGGGTCACCCATGGCAGACAGGTCCTATGTGAGGGACCAGACAAAGTGCAGCCCAAAGACCCCGATGATGAGACAAATAAATGGACCTAGTGTTCCCTTGCCCGGACGTGGGTCACTGGGGCCCCACTCTGGAGCCAGGCCTGGAGGTGGGGTACGCGGGCGAGCGCCTGGTGGCCGAGCTTTTACCCATGGAGCTCAGCCGGGCACAGCCCGAAGAGGAGACGTGGGTCCCCCTTCCCATGGGCTCACCACCTGTGGGAGGGGCCAAAGGGGTCGGGTGTAATGTGGGATGGGTGGTGGCCGAGGGCGGGGACCCTGGCGGTCTGATCCTCGGCTACAGAAGCTGACTATTGGGATGTGGAATGTCACCTCACTGGTGGGGAAGGAGCCTGAGCTGGTGTGTGAGGCTGAGAGGTTCCGGCTAGAAATAGTCAGACTCACCTCTACGCATGGCTCGGGCTCTGGAACCAGTTTCCTTGAGAAGGGCTGGACACTCTTCCACTCTGGAGTTGCCCCTGGTGAGAGGCGCCGAGCAAGAGTGGGCATACTTATTGCCCCCCAACTTGGTGCCTGTGTGTTGGGGTTTACCCCAGTGAATGAGAGGGTGGCCTCCCTCCGCCTACGTGTGGGGGGGACGGGTTCTGACTGTCGTTTGTGCTTATGCACCAAACGGCAGTTCAGATTATCCACCCTTTCTGGAGTCTTTGGAGGGGGTACTAGAAAGTGCACCTCCTGGGGACTCCCTTGTTCTGCTGGGGGACTTCAATTCTCATGTGGGCAATGACAGTGAGACCTGGAGGGGTGTGGTTGGGAGGAACGGCCCCCCTGATCTGAACCAGAGTGGTGTTCTGTTGTTGGACTTCTGTGCTCGTCATGGATTGTCAATAACGAACACCTTGTTCAAGCATAAGGGTGTCCATATGTGCTCTTGGCACCAGGACACCCTAGGCCGCAGTTCGATGATTGACTTTGTCATTGTCTCATCTGATGTGTGGCCACATGTCTTGGACACTCGTGTGAAGAGAGGGGCAGAGCTGTCCACTGATCACTACCTGGTGGTGAGTTGGCTCCGATGGTGGGGGAGGATGCCGGTCAGACCTGGCAGACCCAAACGTATTGTGAGGGTTTGCTGGGAACATCTGGCAGAGTCTCCTGTGAGACGGAGTTTTAACTCCCACCTCCGGGAGAACTTTGAACATGTTCCGAGGGAGGTGGGGGACATTGAGTCTGAGTGGACCATGTTTCGTGCCTCTATTGTCGAGGCGGCTTACCGGAGCTGCGGCCGCAAGGTTGTCAGTGCCTGTCGCAGCGGCAACCCTCAAACCCGATGGTGGACACCGTCGGTGAGGGATGCTGTCAGGCTGAAGAAGGAGTCCTATCAGACCTTTTTGGCCTGTGGGACCCCAGAAGCAGCTGATGGGTACCGGCAGTCCAAGCGACATGCGGCTCGGGTGGTCGCTGAGGCAAAAACTCGAGCATGGGAGGAGTTCGGAGAGGCCATGGAGAACGACTTCCGCACGGCTTCGAGGCGATTCTGGTCCACCATCCGGCGTCTCAGGGGGGGAAAGCGGTACGCCACCAACACTGTTTACAGTGGGAGTGGTGTGCTGCTGACCTCAACTCGGAATGTTGTGGGTCGGTGGGTGGAATACTTTGAAGACCTCCTCAATCCCACCGGCACGTCTTCCACTGAGGAAGCGAAGCCTGGGGACTCTGGGTCGGGTCCTCCAATCTCTGGTGCTGAGGTCACCACACAATATTTTTGCCATGTTAAAGGCTGATCTCTCTCCCCTGGTTCACAACATGGGCTCCACTGAGAAGAAGTTGTATAAAGCAGTAGGGCTGTTGTAAACTAATATTTTAGTATTTGAGTAATCTGTAGATTATTCTGGCGATTAATCGGGTAATCAAAAACAAAGTTTGTCAGGTTCTGCGGTAACTACCGTAATCATTTTATGAGTAATACAACTACACAAAAAAAGAACATTAAATAAACAACCCATTTAATTCCTCATTTTAAAATATTTTATTGCTCAAGTTGAATTATTTTTAAACATCACATATAAATCTAAATGCTGTAAAAAAAAATTATGGATTGGAAAACTGAATGGGCAGCACTGTGGCGCAACTGGTAGAGCTGCTGCCTCTCAGCGAGAAGGTCCTTGGTTCAAACCCCTGTCCAGGGACATTTCTGGGTGGAGTTTGCATGTTCTCTCCGTGCATGCGTGGGTTTTCTCCGGGTGCTCCGGTTTCCTCCCACAGACCAAAAACATGCATGTTAGGCTGATTGGTAACTCTAAATTGTCCCTAGGTGTGAGTGAGAGAGTGAATGGTTGTTTGTCTCGTGTGTCTCTATGTGTCCCTGTGATGGACTTGCGACCTGTCCAGGGTGTACCCCGCCCCTAGCACAGTGCCGCCCCTAGCACAGTGATTGCTGGACATGGGCACCAGCGACCCCCGTGACCCAAAATGGAATAAACGGGTAAAGATAATGGATGGATGTATGGATGGAAAACTGAATGGAATTTACATAGTAGAATCTGGAAGGAAGGACATCATTTGGATTGAAGGTGGAGATGATAAGTAAGTAAGTAAAGTTTTATTTATAAAGCGCTGTACAATAAAAATCAACGCTAAAATATACAAATAATAAAACAAGCATAAGAACTACAAGAAGCACAATAAAATCATGACATGAAAGCCTGGGAGAATAAAAGTGTTTTCATTTGCTTTTTAAAAACCTCAACAGAGTCAGCAAAACAAAGTTGCAGGGGCAAACTGTTCCACAGCCTTTGAGCCACTGACTGAAAGGCCCTGTCCCCTTTAGTTTTCAGCCGCGTACGTGGAATATCCAAGAGGTTCTGTGACTGGGAACAAAGGCCACGAGCAGCAGAGTATTTGGTCAAAAGCTGACAAAGATACACAGGAGCCATTTAAAGCTGATCTTCTGGATCCTTCATCTTCCACCACAGACAGCAGCTGCATGTCTGTGATGATCATATTTAAAATGCTGTTTGTGAACTCAGCTGCTGCACAACCAACATACTGGAGCTCTTTGTATGAAACTGTCCAACGTATGACTCTGACATTTACTGAAAAGAAGAAGAAAATTATTGTTTGTTTGTTTGTTACGTCTCAATACATTTTCAAGTGTTCTTCAATGGATATTATAAAATTATTTAATATTGTTAAGTAATCTACACTTTCTGATGACCCTGCTGCAATCAAAGTAACATTAGTATGTCAGTTATATTTTATTTATGAATTTTAAGCTTTTATTTATGTGTGAGGTTTGAGGATGCTTTAATTAAAACCCTCTGTCATGGAATTGTTTTTAACCATCAAAACCTCAAAACAGGTTTTTAAAAGTCACCGCAGCTCGAGAAATCACACAAAATGCTTGCTTGACACAGCAGCTAGCAATTATTCTTTTCAGCAGACCAAGCCCAGAGAAGACCCTCGCTTTTAGCCCATGTTGTGCTCTGACATTTCTGACCGCAGCGGGAACAAACACGTTTCCCCACAGCAACTGCAATCTCCACCCAAACGGCGTCGTATTTCTAAAGGCGCTCACGCCTCCCCTCAGTGCGCGTCAGCTCACATCAACTCTGATATGAGTTTGCAGCCTGAGCGCATCACAGAGGCATTCCCAGGGCTCTTTCCAGGAGCTCCCCCCCCCATGGGTCTCTCGAGGAGTACCTCCAGAGCATATGACGGCAGTGGGGACACTATCTTGGCTAACGTCCGTAAAGGACATGACACAACACAAACACGCGTGCCCGCTCCCCGAGCGTTACGCAGAGTGGCAGCAAGTGTGTTCCCTGGACAGATGGATGAACCGTCTTATCAGCAGAGGTTACACGCTGCAGTTCGCAGCTCAACCCCCACCGTTCAGAGGGATTATAGACACGGTTCTGTCATCTCCAGAACAGATCTCGTTTCTCCACTCAGTAGTTCAGGAATTACTGATAAAAAATTTAATTTCCAGGGTTCCAGCAGAGAAGAAAATACATGGTTTTACTCACGTTACTTCCTGGTACTGAAAAAGACCTGAGGAATGAGACCCATCCTCGACCTGTCCATATTCAACAAATCAGTCATGGAGAGACAGTTCCACATGCTGACAACCAGGCAGCTGTTGGCCAACATTCACCAGAATGATTGGTTTACCTCCATAGATATAAAAGACACTTATTTTCACATACCAGTCATTCCAAAGCACAGAAAGTTCCTGCACTTTTCCTTCCAAGGGATCCAGTACCAGTACAACAGGATCCCGTTCGGC